CGCGGGCATAAGTGGAAACTCATTTTAAGCCTGTGCGCGGGTTCACACATAGCTTTCTACTTGGCTCTCGAGTTAAAAGGGTTTCGTCAGTTATATACACTGGCTGTAAGCATCCAGCCAGTAGTTTCATCCCGAATTTTCGTATATATATAAATTATACACATATATAATTTATATCAAAAACAGACGTAATTACATATTGTTATTTGCAGTTTATTATATATACCAATTCATATTATATGTATATATATATATTATATATATTAGAAACATGCTTACATGCATGTTATATTTTTGCTACTGAATTACAAAATCCGCGTAGAGTCCGTAGATATGCCGCCTGAATTTCATTTTCGCAGCAAATTTAGCGGTACCATTTTACTGCTTTACTTGCCCGAACTGCCTACTCAATGCATGTGAGAAACTGCCGTGTGCAAAGCGCACTCACGAACTTTCAATTGCAATACCTGAACGGATACTCTCCCATGAGTATTAAACCAACGTCAACTAATTGCTGGCAAGTGTGCCCGCATTCTGGTGTTTGAAGCATATTTGATATCGTTTCCTGAAGCAGTGTTTTTTCAGAATTATCGCGTGAAAAACTATTCAAATGAATGCATTGTATTTCTGAGTGATGACGTATTTCTGAGTGAGTTAAACGAAGAGGGGATTCGAGTTCTGTTGACCTCCATGGTGCACGCATCCAACAATACACAACCTTTGTTTTCTTTGTACCCTTTTTTATCAGTTCTGGCCAACATAGGGCCCAAAACCGCAAAAGAAAGTCGCAGAAGATAAAATTCGCGCAGTGGAGCCCAACCAAAAGGCAGAAAATTTACAGTAGTACTTAGCATATAAATTAGTTATGTTTCACTAAAAAAAGAAATCAGGAAGTTGAGGACAGGATTTCGGCGTAGTCACTGAGCATTGAAATAAACACATAAATCTGTGTAAGTACTGAAAAAGGGTAGTTCCTGTGCGTAGTATTCGAAAAGCCGATATTCTAGAGATTCAGTACACGATCTTGCTATTTTTCTGAATGCTGTCCATTTAATTGTACGTTACTGACATTTTGTCATAGGAGTTTATCTATTGTTCTAGAACGCTAAAATCTACTACGTGCACTGCCTAAAAATGGGCAGCTATGGGTTAGCTTTTCTTTG